CTACTAACTACTCTCTATTCATGCTGATGTATAATCGCGAACCAATTTTGCCAATTGATGTGAAGCATAGCCTCGTCAAAGACGAAAGCAATAAACAAGAACACCGAGAATAAAATATAGACGTAGAACAACCATTCAATTTCAACTTTTTTGATGCCGTCTTTTCATTAACAAGTAAAGTCAGAGCAACAATCACGTTTGAAGCGAAAATATAAAAGTTGCGCAGAAAAAGCAAAAAACAAAATTATGATAGTAGACATTTTTCAAAGTCAGAAAATAAGGTAGATGACATTGTTTTATTAAAAAACAACAAACGGTTTGATCGGATGGGAGGGAAGTTTTCACAAAAATGGCTCGGTCTTTTCACTGTAGTGAATATCTCTGAAAAAGGAGTTGCAACTTTAAAAAACGCATTGAGGTTAACTCTTAAAAATATATACAACATTGTTCAACTTAAAACTTATATTCAAGGAGCAGAGGACAAATTAAAACCAATATTAGTTGAAGGATCTGCATATTTTTGGAATCATGCACCAGACGAAATTGTTGAGATGATTTTGATGTATGCCGTGCAACAATCGGAGAACTCATTCCCTGGTCACAAATGTGAGACCTATGCAAGTATCAAATCAACGTATAGTAAGTGGGCCCGTTTAATTGAAAGAAAAGGTATTATCTTATTTCCAAAGATATATATTGATTTGTGGAAGCCTCTTGGTAAGCCCTCCGATCATAGTAATGAAAGTAATACTGTAAGTACACAAACGTTAATAAAAACTTTTGGAAAATCTAGTGGACTAGCTAGTCAACTATCAAATTACGTAAGTGATAAAAAGTGGCGATCTTCTTGGTTTATCTTGACACCTCATAAACACTCTTGGTATACCATAAATCGAATCTTCTGGAAAACAAAGGTATGTCAGCCAAATCAATCATCTTTGAACTGTAGAGGCAGAATAAGGAAATTTTAGAAAGTAAAGATAGCTGGTTGAACGACATTCTTATGGACGCAGGGCAAAAGTTAATTTGTGAGGCTCTTGGTAACCATGAAACTTACCAATCAGTATTAAACTGCCAGAAAAAGAAGTCCACATATTTCCCAGTTTCTGGCGACCACCTTTATATAATGTACAACGGTAGTTCTCATTGACAATTAGCATTTGCTTTAAATGGCAGGGTTCAAGTGTGCGATAGCCTGCGCATTAACCTAACATCGATTTCGAAAAAATGTTTAAAATCCCTCTTTCAACCAATTGTGAAGAATGGAAAGTTTGAAGTAACATTTCTTCCCGTTAAGCAAATTGATAGTTTCAATTGTGGTGTCTTAGCTCTGGGTTATGCAAGTATATTACTTGATGGAAAATCCCCTCTTGATGTTTGATTTGTTAAAATTTGTTTATAATCATTACAAAGCAAGTCGGTAACCAATACTATTTTCGCAATATCTAAACGTTTTTCTATGTAGTGTCTATCATTCTATTAAAATTACTTTAGTATATTTCTTAGAGTTTTTTTTCAAGTTTCACTCCCCCCAGGCGATGACTACCTATTTGAAAAATAATGAAAAAACTTATTTGATCTCATTCTATATTTTATGGACTTCTTTTTGACAATCGTCTTTTTTATAAGTTGGATGAAGGTTATTATAAGACCTTATTTGCGAGTTAAAAAAACAGTTTTTAATTATCTTGTGACATGCAGGGCCGATGACAAGGGAGAGAGATAGGTAGGGCCAGGGTGCAAGTGCACCTCCTCACTTTTTATTTATTAAAGTTGAGAATTTTTATATAAAATTGAGGATTTTTCTAAAATAAGGTAGTTCCCCCCCCCCCCCCCCCCCACACACACACACACACTGCAAAAACCGTGTCGTCGGCCCTGATGAACATTGAAAGTATGACGTTCAAATAAAAGTTGCAGCAGACAACATTGATACTTACACTTAAGCAATATTTTTTTTTTAATTTATATATATATATATATATACTCTAACGATATATTCATAAAAGCACGTTTACATAGTTTTCCATGTTATTTAACATAAAAATCTTCAAGTGAAGTCCTTTTCTTGTAAACCCCTCACTCTCACTTTGTTTCTTTTTATCCTTCTTATCCCAACCCTTTCCTTCCTTTTTTGCAATGAGGTTTTTATGGTTGACTCCTTGAGCAATTCGTTTATCTTTTTTTAAAGAAAAACAATGAATAAAAAAAAGTAAAACTTCATTTCATTAAACTTATTCATTTCTACTAATTTCTATATTCTAAATATTTTATATTTCTACTAATTATCAAAAGTTTAATTATTTCTCTATCATCAATTAAAAATAAAATTAATAAAAAAATAAAATCAATAAAAAAAATTTGATTTCATCAAACAAGGTATTATTGGATTATATTACTTTCATCAATAATTTTTTCTATATTCTAAATATTTTATATTTCTACTAATTATCAAAAGTTTAATTATTTCTCTATCATCAATTAAAAATAAAATTAATAAAAAAATAAAATCAATAAAAAAAATTTGATTTCATCAAACAAGGTATTATTGGATTATATTACTTTCATCAATAATTTTTTCTATATTCTAAATATTTTATATTTCTACTAATTATCAAAAGTTTAATTATTTCTCTATCATCAATTAAAAATAAAATTAATAAAAAAATAAAATCAATAAAAAAAATTTGATTTCATCAAACAAGGTATTATTGGATTATATTACTTTCATCAATAATTTTTTCTATATTCTAAATATTTTATATTTCTACTAATTATCAAAAGTTTAATTATTTCTCTATCATCAATTAAAAATAAAATTAATAAAAAAATAAAATCAATAAAAAAAATTTGATTTCATCAAACAAGGTATTATTGGATTACTTTCATCAATAATTTAGTTTTGCCCAATATTATACTTTTAATTCTCATTCATTAAATTTACATTTACTTTTTATTTCATAAAACTAATTAAACCATTGAACTGTAAATTGTTGACTGATGATATGGGATCTCGTAAGATGTCTTCTGTAAAAATGTTATCCTTCAAATAGGCTTTTTATGTGGACTATTTTTACTTGACCACCTTAGCTAAAAAAATAAAACTTCCATCTATATCATTATTTTTAATACCTTGGTGATAATTTAATGCATTTATAGTCTCTTAACAAAATACTTTTAACATGTATCAACCTTTTGTCTAACAATCAGTCTTAAGTTAGCAGCAACATAAGTCAGCTTAGACATTTTAACCAGCTGACTAACTAAATTTCAGCAGACTTTTTAATTATCTAGTTTATCTAGTTTCGTATACACTTTGATACATGTATAAAATCAAAAAAATGCCATCAGTTGTTAACGATAGAGATAAGCAATCAAATCGTTTTAAAGAAATGCTTGATTTACTCTATTATAATCATTTGTTTGTTTTTGTTTGTAAATTTTTATTTTCTTTCGATGACAGCTAGACACCTATGCCTTTGCAGAATGTTCTATAATTAAAGCGATAACTTTTCATTATTTCATTTTCATTAATTAAAGCGATAAATTTTCAATTTGTCTTCTTAATTTGGTTGATTATAATATTAATTTGATAGTATACAAAATCCAAATTATCTACTGGTACATTCTTACTATAAATTTTGTTCCCTCATAAAAACATAAAACCATGAAAGCCAATATAGTTGTTGCAAAACTTGATTCATTATTTACTGCTTTACGGTTCACATCGAAAAAAGCTTCAAAAGAAGATGATCTGGTTAAAATATTTGCTTTACTAAACAAATGTCCCTGTGATAAGTTAGCATAGGTTTAACATAAACTTCATCTAGTAATAACATACATTATTTTGTTGAGTTTTAAAAAACACTACAAATAAAAGTGTGAAACGTTTGAAGTTATAAGTGTCAGGAAGATAAAAATCATTTCTGACGTAAAATTGTTTTCTTTTTTGTCTTCTTAAAAGAAATCAAATATCCAAATGATGTGACCAACTTTTGAACTTATAAACACAGTTTTTAACTAATAAAGTAATATTGAATACAACTCCAGCATGATAGGTTTCCAATAATAAATTAGTAAATACTATTAGACACATTTTACTAATACCAGTGTTTCTTTAATGCTCTTTTGATTGCAAACAACATCTATTCAAAAAATAAATAAATAAATAAGCTAATGAATCAATAAGTCTTTATTAATATACTGCAAGGCGCTACTGCAGTTTCTCCCCCCCCCCCCTCTTTTTTATTGTTTTTTAGTGTAATTTTTTAAACTTCAACATCAAATTAGAGCACTTTCTGTTGATTTTCAGACCTATGTTTTTATACGAATCTTAATCAGCATAAAATTCTCTATCATAATCAACAATAAAAAATAGGGGGGGGGAGAAACTACAGAAGCGCCGAACTGCAATATATTCTAAATGAATCATTTTTGTCAAACTCTACAAATTTTGAAAGTTCATCTTCTTTTACTGATCTGAGAGACTCTCTAAGCTCACTAAGAGAGCTTTTATCTATTGTTGTTGCTCTTTTTCTAGTGGAAGAGATTGTACTAAACTCTAAATTAATTCAAATACACTAGGTGGATCTCGAGGATTTTCTTTTCTATTTCCTTTAATAACTAGGAAGTTTGATGGAAAATGTTTTGCCCAAACTACAGTTTAATGTTTATATGTTATATTGTCTATTGGGAAAACGTTAATCCAAGTCTTATTATTTACTGAGTCATTGTTATATTTACAATCAGTTTTCTGTGCATTTTCAACATAATTTTCTAAGCATTGCGCGATGTTATTTGAGTTAACCCTGTTGCGAAATGATCTTTTAATTTCAAGAGATTGTTGGAGTCCTAATTTACTGTTCCACTCTTAATTTCCTGGCAAATCTAAACTCGAAAGGTTCTAATTTACCGGGAAATTAAGACTTTCGAAGTCGTAATTTCCTGAGTCCTAATTTACCGCGACACCGTGTAAAAAAAACTACATAGTTATTTCTTCAATTATTATATTATATACAAACAAGTAGTTATATTATTAATTAATATTAATAATAATGACAATTATAACAACAATAATTATAATTACCGTATTAGCAAATAAGTTAAAAAAACTTTATGAAGTCATAATCACTCTGAAGATGATGGATAAAAGAATATTGTTAAAACAGTCATTTTCTAAATTCTTGTGGTATTTAGCAAATTATAAATATAAGTAGCGAGTGTCCCTCTCTCAATTAAAACGTTTTACTAATACACTACTGGTTTACTTTGACTTGAACATTTTTTTTTTTAATAAACTATCTGTAGTTAATACAGCTCTAATGACTAGGTAACTTTTTTTAAAATTATCATTCAAACTTTTTTGCGATAAATTTTATTAATTAAAAATTAAATAGCGATCTTATAAGTTCCTGTAATTCAGTGTTTGTAGTTGACGGGCAAACGTTTGTTTCACATTTTCGTATTAGCATTTGAATATTTAAAGCATGTTTATTATTAACTCCTAAAACTTCTTTATACAAGTTTTGCGTTTCTAAAAGCATTCTTTTTGCGTTAACGTATTGTTTTTTTTCAAACAAACATTTTGCAATTAAGTATTTACTATTTATTGTTGCTTCAAATTTTGTTCCAAAAACTTCGTGTTGCATTTGTTCCGTTTCCCTAAACATTTTTTCTGCGTCGTCAATCTGTCCTTTGTAAAATAAACACATTGCGACATAGTATTTACTTGCTAGCGTATCGTTACTTTTTTCTCCAAAAATGTCTTTAAATAGATTTTCCGTTTCTCTGAATATTTTCTCAGCATTATCAAATTGATTTTTTTCTAATAAACATCTGGCAATCCAGTGTTTGGTGTTTAAAGTATGGTGATGTTTATTTCCTAAGACTTCATTTTGTTCTATTTCTGTTTCTCTAAATATTTTTTCTGCTTTATCGTACTGTTTTTTTTCAAATAAACATCTTGCAATATAGGACATACAGTTTAATGAATTTAAATGTTTATTCCCTAAAACATCTTTGAACTTTTTTTCAGTAATCCTAAACATTATTTCTGCATTATCAAACTGTTGTTTTTCAAACAAACATCGTGCAATCCAATATTTGCTATACGTCGTATCATTGTCTTCGCCTCCTAAAACTTCTCTTTGTATTTTTTCTACTTCAACAAACAATTTCTCTGCCTTATCAAAAAAATGTTTTTCAAATAAGCATCTTGCAACCCATGTTTTAGTATTCAATGTATCCTTATGTTTATCTCCTAAAGCTTCTTCTTGAATACTTTGTATTTCTATAAAGACTTTCTCTGCGTTATCGAATTGTTTTTTTTCATATAAGCATTTTGCAACCCATTCTTTTGTATATAATGTTTCCTCATGTTTATTTCCGAAATATTCATTTTCAATTTTTTCGATTTCTATAAATATTTTTTCTGCATTATTGAATTGATTTTGTTCAAATAAACAAATTGCAACCATTCTTTTGGAATATAATGTTCTCTCATGTTTATCTCCTAAAAATATTTTCCCCATATTTTCTACTTCTCTAAATAACTTTTCTGCGTTGCTGTATTTTTTATTTTTGTATGAGCAATATGCAATAAAATATTTAGTTTTCAATGTATCCTCATGACCTTTTCCTAAAACTTCTATTTGCATAACCTCCACATTCCTAAACATATTTTCTGCCTCATCTAACTGATTTTTATCTAATAAGCAATGTGCGATAAAATATTTAGTTTTTAATGTATCCTCGTGTTTTTCTCCAAGAACATCAGTTTGCATTATTTCAATTTTTTTCAATAGTTGCTCTGCTTTGTTTGTTTGCTTTTTTCCTAAAATGCATACTGCAATCCACTGTTTAGTGTATAGTGTGTGCTTATTTTTTAATCCTAAGTTTTCTCTTTGAACCATTTTTATTTCTCTCAGCAACTGTTCTGCGTTTTCAAATTTATTTCTCTTGTGTAAACATCTCGCAATCCAATGTTTAGCATTTAGTGTATGCTCGTGCTTTTCTCCTAATGCTTTTGAGTATAAAATTAGTAATTCTCTATATACTTTTTCTGCGTTTTCAAAGTTTTTTTTATCAAAATAGATTTTTGCCATCTCCAATTTTTCTGATGAGCAGCACTGAAAATATTTATCTAAAAGAGAAAAGTATTTACCTTTAAAATGATAAACCTTTTTTTTTATAAATTTTTATTTTATAAATGTATATTATTTCAACAGTGTTTTCTATTTAAAACTTATTTAGGGAATTTTAACAAATAGTTAAATATCTTTAAAGCATCTAATGAAACAATATCTGATATTGTTTCATTTATATGTTGATAATCAACATATATTTTTAATTATGAATGTCAAAAAATTAATAATTTTTTAATGCTGTAACTTTTAAAATTCTTAAAAAATATTAAAAACAGCTAAAAATAACTTGTTTAAACACTTAAAATCCTGAAATACCAAAAAAAATTAGCTCACGAAACTTATGATAAAACTTCTTAAATAATTAAAAACAACAAAATAAGCAGCTTAACACAAGTTAAAATTAAATATTTAGTGAGAGAAAACTAAATGTTTATTAAGATTAAGTATATATTTAATGAGAGAGGATATTGGCTTCTTGATATGGAAACCAAAGAAAATGCAAATCTTATGAATAAATTTTTATTTTAAATTGTCTGAATGTAAGGAAAAAATTAGCTCTTGAACTCGAAATACTTAATCAAATGAAAATCTTTAATCAAATGGCGCGTTTCATAGGTGAATTGAACTCTTTTAAACATACCACCTTTTAATTTCATCAAAATTCAAAAGACGGACGAAGATTCTTTTGCATAAGACCCTCCGTAAAATTTGAAGATATTTTTCATGCGATCAAAATTTGATGGTGTAAAAAACTCCTACTTAACGCTAAAAAATCTGTTTTTTGCAAAACACTATTAAAAATCAACTGTGCTAATAGTTCCATTTTAAATTGAGAAGTACTTTCAAACATTTTTCCTGGAATCAGACAAGATTAGATAAATTTTTTTCTTTTCCCTAAAGAGGGCTTTTAAAATGTTGATTAGTTAGATTAGACAAAAGGCCCTTTCTTTGTGGGTATTCCTAATCGCCTTTAAAAAGATGCATTGCGGAGCACTAAGTTAAAAATTCGCTTAAATAAAAAAAGTAAAATATATTTAAGAAAAAATCCTTAATGTAAGAAGAAAATTAAAATTTAAAGACTAAAGTAGTTGGAAAAAAAATTATCGAACCAGCAGTAGTTTATCAATTAACAAACAAAACATGAAACTGCATTTCATCAATGTTGCACTCTGAAAGAAGAGCAATCTGTTTTTTATCGAGTTGGAAAAGCAGTTAAAGTTGGGCAAACCCTTCACAATCTGTAAAATTGTGGGCAAGGATTTAATTTTTGGGCTACATTTTAATATGTAGTGCTCATGAACACACAAATTATTATTTTGGGGTTGTCAAGGGTGGTCATGGGGTTTATCAATGGTTTTTAAATTAGATGGGACATTTTGTATATTAAAATATAGGTAACTGCTGTCAGAGAATTCAAACCTGGGCTTATTTAGTCTTTATAAGTGGTCATGACCGCTCAATAGTCATTTTAGTAGTGGTAAAGAGCGGTCCTGAGATGTTCCAATGTTTTCCAATTAGATGTTATATGTCTAAATAAAGGTAATTGTGGTCAGGGAATTTGAAACTGGGCATATTCGATCTTCAAACCTGGTTGTAACCAATCAGGTAATTATTTTTAGGGGTGGTCAAGGGTGATCGTGGAATATCTTGATGGTTTTTCAATTAAATGATACATGTTGTATGTTTAAATCAAATAAGCCGTACTTGGTTTCCAGGAGTGGTTATAATTGCGCAGATGTCTTTATTAAAAATATTTTTTGTATATATATAAGAATTTAGGCGATGCCATACATCATACTTTAGTACAATACGAGCCCCCCGGCCTCCTCAGATTGATTAGAGTCTTTAATTTTTTCCAGTCTCCTTCTTTTTCTTAACACCTTAGTAACGAGGCTGCAAAACATTTTCAGCATAAGATCATAATTTGTTTGAGGCCTGGATAATTAAAATGTGTAGTGCTCTCTGCTCTTTTAGTCTAAAACAATAATATATTATGTTTGAAATGACTAATTTTTACAATTAAATGACTTTTTATTTTGTTTTATGGGCGGTATTCAAATGAACAAAACACATTTGACACATTTAAAGTACAATTATCTAGATGAAAAAAATATTTTAGAAAAGTTATTTAGACGACATTAAAACTAAAAGTACTAGATGATATAGTTTTCTCGCTTTCAACACAACGTTCAAAAATTGTGACCGTATAAAGTTTAAACCCGCTTGAGACGGTTGCAAATTTTATATAGTCATAATTTTTGAACGCTGATAATACTATAAAACTTAAATTGAGATAATACTATAAAAGTTAAATTTTTGGATGAATATAAGTCTAGTTGAGAATGATACAAAAAATACTTTATCAGCTTGTTGCCCTCACGTTTGGGATGAGGAAGAGATGAAATTTTAGGGTTTCTTTTAGCCTCTAAATCTTTTTTTGTTCCCTCCTCTTTCATAAAATGATCCAAAACTTTTTACAATAACATTAAAAGCGCTATTTAAAAAAGATTTTAAGAAGATTTGAATTATTAAAAGAGTTTTTTACGCGTCTACTTCAGTTTTTAAAGCAAAATCTACATTTATGATAACTTAAAGTATATTATGTAACTTAAAGTATATTACATCCTCCTAATGTTTTTTAAGTTGTGTAAAAGTAAGTGTTTAAAAAGATGTTGCACATTTTAAGAGGTTTTATTGAAAAACACTGAGAAAAAGCAAGCATAAAAAATAAATTGTTATATTTCTTCTTTTTATTTCAATATATGATGTCAATTGGACTAAAATAAACTTATTATAAATTAAAATTTTGTAAAATTATCTTGCTGTCCTCATATTTTATTTTTAAATGATTATTTACATTTTCACTAATATTCGAAAACTAAAATATTGCCATTTTATTGAGTTTGTACAATGCGTGATAGTGTCGTATCTGAAACATCAAAAACTCCTAGGTTGAGCATTTTAATTAAAATTAGTATAATGCCGTTAGTTATTTAGTTACGGTTATGTAATGCCGTTAGTTACTTAGTTACGGTCATGTAATGCGGTTAGTTCATGGCGCTCTATACTTCTATACTCTCGACTTACGGTAGCGCGATGAAGGCCTATTCATCGCGCAACCGCAAGTCGTGACTGGGGGCCTATTTTAATATTCTAAAAATTGCGAAGATGAAATGCTCGCATTGAAAAACTTGCTAGAGGATTTTTAACTTTTTCAAAATAATTTTGTTTATTCTTTTATATTTCCAATAACTTTGTATTATTAATATTTTTTAAATTATTTTTTAAATTTTTTTAAATAATTTTAAAACACTGTATTTTTACTTGTCAACTCTTAAGCTTGTTAGGAGTTATTTATAATATATATATATATATATATATATATATATATATATATATATATATATATATATATATATATATATATATATATATATATATATATATATATATATATATATATATATATATATATATATATATATATATATATATATATATATATATATATATATATATATATATATATATATATATATATATATATATATATATATATATATATATATATATATATACAACTCCTAACATTGTTATATATAATTCCTAACATTCTATATAACGTACAATGTTGAGAGTTTAGATTTAAACTCCTAATTTTAAACCTAAAATTTTATGTTATGGTTTGCATATTTTTATATTCTTTTAGATAATTATACTTTATAGATGACAAAAAAGTGTTGTTTATATATCTGCAAAACTAATTAGCAAAGTACCAAAAATAATAAAAGCCTTGAAAAAATACCAGTCTATCGTTTTCCTATAGATAAAGAACAAAGAAATATTTGTATAAAAAGTATTCCGAATTCTAATCTTTTAGTTTCAGATGAAACGGTTATTTGCCAATTACATTGGCCAACAAATTTTCGAAAAATTTATTGTTCAAGGAAAACAAAGACTAAAAATGCCACCATCTGTTTGGCCTGGAATACCTTTAAGTTGAAAACCCACTCCATTGCCACCTTATCGCACAACACAGAATACTTTGAGCGTTGTTAGAAATCTCAAAACTGATGAACTTAGCAATTTTTTATTAGCTGATACAGCAGCATATATTAGATTAATTAATAAATGTTTTATTAATTAATCTCAGGGTTTTTTCAGTTTCAGTAATAACATTTATGATTGAAAAAACAGTAAATGTTCAATCTATAACGTTTTATGATGGTGTTCCTTTATTTCTTGTTAAAATTTTTGAGAATTTACATTTTGAAACATTTCATTGTGGAATAAAATGTTTTATAATAATTTTATGTAAAAATCATATAAATATTGTTGATACTTGGTCAAAGTTTGAGAAAATACTACATTTTTAAAATTTTTTAATGTCATGGAAATAGATCATAAGAAAAACATTAAATCAGTTATGTCTGCAAAACTTATTGGAAAAAAAAATATGAATCAAATACTATTATACGTAGTTTTGATTATTTTTCATCATCTCGTTCTTTATACAATAAACTAAGAAGCGATTTTCAACTGCCATCAGTTAGTACTTTGACACGAATAACTTCAAAAGTTTAAAAATCTATGGCTTACAGAAAAAACTGGGGAATTAGTGTACAATGATAATGGTACTCAAAAAACAGCATAAAAGAGAAACACGATCACAAATATAGATTAAAGTTGCACTTCATTTTCAAATTGCTTTAAGTTATTTTTTTTAACTATTTTTTTAAAATAGTATTATTAAGGGTTATTATTATTTATTTTTTCTGTAAAAATTAGAGATGTCTTGGATTGAACTCTTTAAAAAAATGGCCGGATACCGGATAACCGGATACCGGTTAACCGGATAATTAAAAATTATCCATATCCAGTTATCTTCATTACAAAATTCTTTTTTTAAAATATTTATATCGTTTAGATATTTGGACGGACAGTTATTTTCATTACATATATATATTTTTTAATATTTTTATTTTTTAAATATTTG